GGCCTCGCCGGGGAGGATGCTGTCCCGAAAGAAGACCAAAACCGAGGTGTCCAAGCCGGCCGAGGTGCAGGGCAAGTACGTGAAGAAGGAGACGTCGCCCCTGCTGCGGAGTGAGTGTCGCGCGGGGCGGCGCGGGGACGGGGCCGCGCTCTCCTCCCCGGTCGCCGTGGGATGCGGGCTTCTTGGCTGTCTTGTGTCTGGAGTGGCCGATTGAAGGCCCGTCGAGAGCAGGCGACTTGGGCTGGTCCCCCCCCAAGAGCACCCCCAAACCACGGCAGAGTTGCGGGCGAGGCGTCCCGGAAGAGAGGCCAGGAGACACCTGAGCTGCGCATCCCCTGACGCCGGGGGAGTAAACGTGATGAGGCGGGGACACTTTGTCCTCCTGCAGATGCCTCCCGTTGCGCCTTAGGTTTGCAGGCATCTCCCGACTGCGCTGTAAGTTGCGCGGACTCTAGTCTTGCGGGCGGAGGCGGGCGCTGTCGCAGCCGCCGCGCCTCACTCTGGGGTGGCAGAGCGGAGGCGCCAGCCTCGTCCGCAGGGCTGTATTATTCTTGAGATTCCCAAAAGACAAGTACTCAAAAATGGACTCTGTCCTATCAAGGAAATTGCAAAAAACAAAAACAAAACAAAAACCCAACCAAAAACGTCTTGTTTTGTTTTTTTAACTTTCATAGGATGCATCACACACACACACACACACACACACACACACACACACACACACAAAAACAAAACAAAAACCCAACCAAAAACGTCTTGTTTTGTTTTTTTAACTTTCATAGGATGCAGCCGATTTTCGAGCTGAATCTCTTGAGTTTTTAATTCTGTGTGTTGAGGACGTTTGTGAGATAAGGAGCCGATGTTTGGTGTTCATACCGCGTGCTGGGCCCTTTGTGTAAGTTTCCTTCTTGGAAGCTGGTCTCAACCTTGTGATTTAAGCATGATCTCATGTTGTAATTGGGAAAGCTGTTCACAGAGGCTTCGAGTATTTGACCAAGATCGCCCAGAAAGGGGTGGAGAGCATGTTTTTCCGTTATAACCACCTCGTCAGCCTTCCAGATTTATTGTAGTTCGTGCACTGCTTTAATGATATATGTCAGATGGGAACGTCAGGAACTCAAAACTTGATTTTTAAACCCTTTTTTAACAGCTTGGTTTTCAGCTACACATGCCACATTTATGTTTTTGGCTGTTTTTAGGTGATAACTTGCTGTTTGCTGCAAATAAAGTTTATGAAACATTACTTGAAATAGTGAAATATGTATGTCACACTTAAGCAAATAACTTCTGATACAGTATTTTGCTTTTGGTTTCAAGTGTTGAACTTTATTTATTTGGATATTAATTTGTTTCTGTCTAGTGTTAGCTTTTGAAGCTTTTTATTTTTTATTTTTTTTGAGCTGGAGTCTCACTCTGTCGCCCAGACTGGAGTGCAGTGGCTGCTCCGGCCACCGCAGCCTCGACCTGCCGGGCTCCAGCGATCCTTCGGCCTCAGCCTTCTGAGAGCTGGAACTACAGGCGCGCGCTACCACGCCCGGCTAATTTTTGGATTTATCGTAGAGATGAGGTCTCGCCAAGTTGCCCGGGCGGGTCCCGAACCTGCGGGGTCAGGCAATTCACTCACCTCGGCTTCCCAAAGCGCGGGATTACAGGCTGAGCCACTGAGCCCGGCCCTGTTTTGAATTATAATTACTTGTTTGTTAAAGGAACAGTAGCTTCAGGCTTGGTGTTTTTGAGCTGATTCAACATTTATGTGTCTCTTTGAAGTGAGAGCTTTTTATTTTTAATTTTCATGCCTAAATTTTTGACTTTCCAGCTGTTGATTACTGTACTAGTAATTCCAAGAGGAGAAAGACAGCTACCAATTTTAAAATCATTTTAAAGGAACCTAACTTTAAATGGGAGTAGCATTATATTGTTCTGTTTATCTTTGAAATTGTGTTTGCTTGAAGAAGGCGTTTTGGCATTTTCTGAAATTAAGTGAAAATGACAAAACACACTGTAATCTTCGATCGCTAGTAGTTGTGTATCAGTTTGTTTACTATTTTTATACATTAACTCATGAGCATTTCATTAATTTGTAGTTCATAGATAATCTTATTAATGTTTGATCATATGTATGGTGGTATGCTGAATACATTTGATTCTGGCTGAGTTTACACATAGCATATTAATGCAAATTATAAATTCATTTGAGTGGAAAAATAGTAATCTTCCTCAGTTTTAAGATGCCCAACTACTATCTTAAATCAGAATTCAAAATTGTGGGGTTTTTTTGGTTTTGTTTTGTTTTTTGAGTTGGAGTCTCACTCTGTCGCCCAGACTGGAGTGCCATGGCCGCTCCCGGCCACCGCAGCCTCGACCTGCTGGGCTCCGGTGATCCTTCTGCCTCAGCCTTCCGAGTAACTGGAACTACAGGCGCGCGCTACCACGCCCGGCTAGTTTTTGATTTATTGTAGAGATGAGGTCTCGCTGTCCAGGCACGTCTTGAACCCGCAGGCTCAGGCAATCCACTCACCTCAGCCTCCCAAAGGCGCGGGATTACAGGCTGAGCCACCTAGCCCGGCTAAAATTGTGGTTTTTTAAAAGTCCATTGATATTTTGATTTTGGGGTGGTAGACATAGATAAACAACTTTTGAAAAAAGTGTTTTTATTATTTGTTTTATTATAGATCTCATGCCTTCATTCATCCGGCATGGTCCAACAATTCCAAGACGAACTGATATCTGTCTTCCAGATGCAAGTCCTACTGCCTTTTCAACTTCTGCAGAAGGCGTAGTTTCAAGAAACCAGAGTTTCCTTAGAACTCCAATTCAGAGAACACCTCATGAAATAATGAGAAGAGAAAGCAACAGATTATCTGCACCTTCTTATCTTGCCAGAAGTCTAACAGATGTCCCACGGGAGTATGGCTCTTCTCAGTCATTTTTAACAGAAGTTAACTTTGGTATGGAAAATGGAGACTCTGGCTCCCACTATTATTATTCAGACAGTTTTTTTGATGGTCAGAGAAGGCGGCCACTTGGAGATCGTGCCCATGAAGAATACAGATACTATGAATACAACCATGATCTCTTCCAAAGAATGCCACAGAATCAGGGGAGGCATGCTTCAGGTAAGTTAACATTTTATTATTTTATATTTATATTTATTGGCACTTCAGTTAAAAAGATGTTATTGTCTAGATTTTCCTGAGAAGCCAGCAAGTGCTCCTAATGCAGTACTTTTCCATTTTGCAAGTTGTTTAAGCCTGTGTGCAAATAGTTGTTAAACTACACTGGATGAAAAAATTTTGTGTGCATTTATTTTATTAGCTCATGTTATATAAACCTGGTACTTATTCAAGGCTATCTAGACTATTAACACTGTGGGCCTTGAAAACTTGCAGAATTTAATGTCTCCAGTTAGATTGAATTTAGGTTCAGGTTTGGTAGAATGGGAAGGGTGAGTCTTCAGAGAAATTGGACTTAAACTTGGGAAAGAAAAGAAGTGTAGAAGACTACATTACTAAGCTGGATCCTGCACTGATTCTCTGAGCATAACTTATTTTGTAACTCTGAGTTGGTCAAAAAGATGTTTTGGTCAAAAAGATGTATTGTCAAATGTTTAATTGTACGTTGAGCATATCTTTTTGTTGTTCTTTTTGTAATGCGTAAAAAATATTAGCCATATAATTAAGGGAAAAAAAGCTTCTTTCCATATCTCCTGAATTGGGGATACTTCTAAAAGGAACAGAAGAGAATAGAGAAATGTACAGTTCTACTTTATTCCTAAAATGCTGTATCATACTAGTTAAAATGAAGCAAGCTGAAAATTAAACTTTCTTTTCTGACATCTAATAAGTTGTAGACTTTAAATTTTGGCAGAATAAAAATAAAATATGTGAGACAGATTTACTTTTTTAACCCATATAACTTCAAATAAGGTGACTTAAAAACAATTTGGTGTGACTGGGCTGGGTGGCTCAGCCTCTAATCCCAGTACTTTGGGAAACCGAGGTGAGTGGATTGCCTGAGCCCATGGGCTAGAGACCAGCTCAGGCAACTTGGTGAGACCTCGTCTGTACAAAAAAAAAAAAAATTTGCTGAACGTGGTAGTGCGCCCCTGTAGTTCCGGCTACTTGGTGGAAGGCTGAGTCGTAAGGATCGCTGGAGCCCAGCAGGTCAGCGCTGGGGTGGCCGTGAGTGTGCCACTGCACTCCAGCCTGGGCGACAAGAGTGAGACTCCAACTCAAAAAAAAACCCAAAACAATTTGGTGCATTAGTATTTTGACTGTAGAAAACAATTATTCATTTAGTATTAATCAGTGTGTGTGTAGCATTTTTCTTGGCCCTCTTGGTCTCTGCTTTCTGGTACTTTATTTGGGGAAACAACCAATATAAACACAATAGTCACAGAACAACTGTTATACTTTGTGGTACTGACTATAGGTGCAGTAGGGAGTCAGGAGAGAGATTAGTGCAGACTGAAATACTAATAAGAATTATTTGTGGAAGAGGTGGCACTTGAACTGGGCCTTAGCTTGGCCTCCAGATTAATGGGGAAAGAGTCAACTGAAGCAAGGTGGACTGCGGCTGGTGCTGATGCTACGAGGATAATGTAAGATTGTGACCAAGTAAGAAGGTAGAAAGAAGTAAAGTTTATTATCAACTTTTCACAGATTGGAAAGGGGACCTACACTCAGAAGTAAGTGTGGCATTGAAGGGCCAAAAAAGAACTGGGTATATTTAAGAGCCTTTAGGATAAGGAGGGTTTGGGCCCAGAGGGGTCCGGGTCAAAAGGAATGTCCAGGACTTCCAGTTTTTTATTTTATTTTATTTTTTTTTGAGTTGGAGTCTCACTCTGTCGCCCAGACTGGAGTGCAGTGGCCGCTCCTGGCCACTGCAGCCTTGACCTGCTGGGGCTCCAGCGATCCTTCTGCCTCAGCCTTCCAAGTAGCTGGAATTACAGGCGCACGCTTCCACGCCCAGCTCATTATTTAAATTATTATAGAGATGAGTCTAACCAAGTTGCCCAGGTGGGTCTCGAACCCACGAGCTTAGGCAGTCCACTCACCTCAGCCTCCCAAGGCACAGGATTACAGGCTGAGTCACCGAGCCCTGCTGACTGCCAGTCTTTGATGTAGATTGTAGCCACAGGAGTCTTACAGGAGTCTTAGATCTGCATTCCATGTTCTCAGGTGGTGGGCTGGGGTAGTCAAGGTTGGGTAATAACAATCAGTAAACATGCCTCTGGGCAATGTGCTGGAGGTCATCACTGTGCAACTGATAACAAAGTATCAAAACAGAAGCCTAAAAGATAAAAATTGTTAGCAAGCTGGACATAATGATTACATGGCAGAAATGCATATGGGGTGTGCAGTAGGGAATTTCAAAGAGTAAGGCCTAAGAAAAATGGCTATGCTGTTTTTTAAATGGCTAAGTCAAGCTAAGTATACTCTACACTTCAAGGGTTCCCTCCTTCTTTTTTTAAGTTTTGAGTTGGAGTCTCACTCTGTCGCCCAGGCTGGAGTGCAGTGGCATGCTCACGGCCACCACAGCCTTGACCTGCTGGGCTTAGGCTATCCTTCCGCCTCAGCCTTCCAAATAGCTGAAACTACAGGCATGTGTGAATATACCTAGCTTATTTTTTTATTTATTGTAGAGACAGGTCTCACCAAACTGCCCAGGCTGGTCTCGAACCCCCGGGCTCAGGCAATTCTCTCGCTTCAGCCTCCCAAAGTGCTGGGATTACAGGCTGAGCCACCACACCCAGACGGTTTCCCTCCTTTCAAGGTGGAAAAATGGAAATGACCCAGTGAAAACGGTAGGCATGGTTTAAATCTAAGGAACTATGTAGTTCTGCCTAGTTTGAAAAAATAAGATGTAACATGGAATAGAGATTTGTGGTCCAACAACAGGCTTAGATTTGAGTCAAGTGAAAGTCATTGCATATTTCAAAAAGACAAGTGATTTTATGAAAGCAGTGTTTAAAGATTAGTTTGGGGCCAGGTGTGGTCGCTCAAGCCTGTAATCCCAGCACTTTGGGAGGCTGAGGTGAGAGAATTGCCTGAGCCCAGGGATTTGAGACCAGCCTGGGCAACTTGGTGAGACCTCGTCTCTATAATATGTCAAAAAAATTAGCTGGGCATGGTAGCACGCGCCTGTAGTTTTAGCTACTTGGGAGACTGAGGCAAGAAGGATCACCTGAAACCAGCAGGCTGGCGCTGGAGTGGCCATGAGTGTGCCACTGCCCTCCAGCCTGGGCAACAGAGTGAGACTCTGACTCAAAAAAAAAAGATTAGTTTGTAGTAGTATTCAGAGTAGATTCTTAGAAAAAAGAGGATTGCACATATCAGTAATAATAGAGAGGGAACAGCAAATCTAGGATGCTGTTGAAGGAAAAATGAGAATTAGGGTTTGGAGAAAGTAAATCACTAACGTTTTGAGAATTGGGGAATAACAGTGTGGAATAGTTGGTAAGAACAACTTATTTTTTATGAAAGCTAACTTCAGAATCTCAGAGATATTGAAGAGGAGAGATTTTCTAGTCAAAGGAAATACTGTAAGAGCATGGATGAATGCCTTTTTGTTTTTAAGGAACTTCTAGGTTAAAGGATTAAGACAGTTTTGCATGCTTGAGTGTTTATTTTGGTTATTTCTTTCTTTTTTTTTTTTTTTTGAGTTGGAGTCTCACTCCATCAGAGAGCCTCCTAGTATACGAATTATTTCCTCCTTCATCTTTTTCTATGCCAAATTCTTTTTTTTTTTTTTTTTTTTTGAGTTGGAGTCTCACTCTGTTGCCCAGACTGGAGTGCAGTGGCCGCTCCCGGCCACCGCAGCCTCCACCTGCTAGGCTCCAGCGATCCTTCCGCCTCAGCCTTCCGAGTAGCTGGAATTACAGGCATGCGCTACCATGCCCGGGTGATTTTTTGATTTATTGTAGAGATGAGGTCTTGCTGCCCAGGTGGGTCTCGAACCCACGGCGGGCTTAGGCAATCCACTCACCTCAGCCTCCCAAAGGCGCGGGATTACAGGCTGAGCCACCGAACCCGGCTCAAATTCTTTTTTTACTTTGTTGTGATTATATCTTGTACAGTGTATATCCTCGCTTTTTATTTGAATCAGTTTTTTTTTTGAGTGGTAGCCTCCCTCTGTTGTCTAGGCTAAAAGCACAGTGGCCTTGACCTGCTGGGCTCAGGCGATCCTTCCACTTCAGACTTCCAAGTAGTTGGAACTACAGGCGTGTGCCACCATTCCTGGCTATTTTTTTTTTTTTTTTAATTGTAGAGATGAGGTCTTAACCATGTTGCTCGGGCTAGTCTTGAACCTGTGGTCTCAGGCAGCTCTCTAGCCTCCGCTTCCCAAAGAACTGTGATTATAGGCTTCAGCCACTGCACCTGGCCTACACTTTTCATTTTTATTTTTATTTTTTTTGAGTTGGAGTCTCACTCTGTCACTCAGACTGGAGTGCAGTGGCTGCTCCTGGCCACTGCAGCCTCGACCTGCTGGGCTCTGGCGATCCTTCCGCCTCAGCCTTCCAAGTAGCTGGAACTACAGGCATGCGCTACCACGCCTGGCTAATTTTTGATTTATTGTAGAGATGAGATCTCGCCAAGTTGCCCAGGCAGGTCTCGATCCCACGGGCTCAGGTGGCCTACACTTTTTAATAAGTAGTTTTAATGACTCCATAATCTTCCATTTGGTGCATGTTCAGTGATTAATATTTTTATTTTTTGTGTGGGAGTCTCACTCTGTCATCCAGGCTGGAGTGCAATGGCATACACACAGCCACCCACGCATCGACCTGCTGGGCTCAGGTGAACCTTCTGCCTCAGCCTTACAAGTAGCCAGAACTACAGGTGCGCTCTACCAAGCCTGGCTAATTTTTTGATTTATTGCAGAGATGAGGTGTTGTCAAGTTGCCCAGGCTGTTCTTGAACTCGTGGGCTCAGGTAATTCTCTCACTTCAGCCTCCCAAAGTGCTGGGATTACAGGCCACTTGAGTCACTGCTCCCGGTCATAATTAACATTTTAAATACGTTAATGAAGACTTGACATATGCTTCCGACATTTAGAAAGGAGAGAAGTGGAACGCATTCAGTTAATGGTACTTGGCCACTCACGGGTTTAAGGG